GGGTCTCAGCACACAGCTCAGGGCCACTTGTGGACCCTTTTGTCCATGACCAAGCACCCACACACCTCATCCAGAGCCCTTGGAACCACCCAAATCCAATGCACTCAGTGAGGGGTGTACAGAGAGAGAGGCCTGGACACAGGCTGGGAAAGATAGGGCCTGAGCCCCCTAACAACAGGATGCTGGGAATTTGAAGCACTGGGTCTATACAGAAACTCACACACTCACACATGCACAGAGACCCTCAAATCCATGTACACACAACTCCCTACCCAGTGCCTCACCTTCTCTGACACTCCCCAGAGCTGTACCAGGCCCAGGTCCCTGCCTGAAGTCACAGGAGAGACAGTAAGAGCCTGGAAATGCAGAGAGAAGAATTTGGGTGAGCAGTTGCTTTTTACTAGCAGGGGCACTGATCAATTGAAGGAGATTATTTGGTGTCTGATACTATAGAGTTAAGCAGGACCCCCTTTACCTCATGAAGGGTCTACAAGGTTGGAGAAACTGTGGCTTTCTGGGTCCAGGGCCTCACTGCAGAGGTGAGAAGCAGGCAGAAAGCAACTATGGTGACTGTTTTTTGGGGCAGTGGTTTCCCAAACTGGCCAAACATCGGATCACCGAGGGGCCTCCCAAAGATGACAGATTTAAGATTTTGATGCAGTATGGAACCAAGATCCTGTGATTTTGTCAAGCCTTCCAGGCAATTCTGCTGGTTACTACTCTGAAGAGCCACACGAGGTGGCACAAGCACTCTGTTTGGCAGGACAGGGCAGGCTGGACTTTGGGTTGGTGATGGCTGGCTTAACCCAAGGCATTTGTCTAGCTAATAAATGGCTACTTGTAGCCAGCTTCTATTGAGTGTGACACCTGTGTTGGCCTGGACAAACCACTGGTCCATGGTTGGAGACGCTGTCTCCTCCGCACACAGGTTGCCACCAGGGTCAGGAGCATGTCTTCCCAGATGGACCCCGGCTCTGAGCTTCTCCTCCTCTCTTTTCAGCACTCCTTCAGCCACCCAGGGTTACTAGGACAACATTACAAAACATACTTCCTGACATCTCCAGCCCAGGCCCCATGATGACATTTGATCACTTTCTGGTTAATGAAAAATAAAACAATCCTTGATTCCCGGCAGGTTCCAAAGCACAGATCAGTTACACAATTGAGAACAAACAACCTTCCAGGTCAGAGGCTCTGTTATGCACATATACGTAGTCCAGGGTCTGACTGCGACCCCTAGAGCTGGTCGATCTCTGGCAGCCACAGAGAAGGGAGGCAGGCTGGTCCTGGGCAGGAAGGAGGTCTGAGTGATGTGAATGCCAGGTCTTAAGCTGGTACCCCAAGCTCCCATATTCTGGCTTGGGCATTGCTAAAAGTGACATTAGAGGAGCTGCAGGACTCCTAAGAAAGATTATCCTGCAGGAACAAGGCCCTGCAATTCCAGGATCCAGAACTCAGGCTGGAGCTTCAGCTTTGACTGTCGTGAGCTTTGGCAGCTGTGTTCACTCTGGCGGAGGAAGAAAATCACACTGGCTGTGTCTATACTCCCACAGGAGGCTGTTAAATTCAAAATTCCCATCTCAAGAGCAAGGTGTATTTGCCGTTCTAACTTACTCAGACTGGCTTGCTATGGACTTGGAAAACAGGTGATAAGTGTTCAGGCCACAATTACTTTAGGCAAAATTGACAGGTAACAAAAACTGAAAACAGTTCTCAAATCCTACAGCATTTGCTCCTGAAATGGGCCCTGCAGGTGTGAATCTGTGTGTGACCACTGATTCACCCAGCTTTAGAAGGCAGAAGACTTGACAGTCCAATTCACAGATAGGGAGATTGAGGCCCAGGGAGCCAACATGCCACTTGGTGCATTAGTCAGGGAGAAGCTTCCAAATCCTGAATTTCCCATCCACCAAACTGCCTCTCTGCCAGCCCCAACATGGCACACAGAGACCCAGGCCTTGTTCTGCCCTGGGCGTAACCCTGGAGTCAGAGCCTGGGCTCCACAGAGGTCTGAGCAGCAGCTTCCTTTCCAACAATGCTCTGAGGCATGACCTTCAGGCTCTTACTCTTTGCAGCCAAGTACGATTGCAGCTCAATTATGTCTGCCGGTTTCTGTTTCAAAAGCCAACCTGGGAAATTATGTAGCAAACAACGGGGCTCAAGAAGTTGCTCAGAGTCGCTCCCATTCCTGACGTCCCAAGGGGAATGTGCTGCCTGAGGTCCCAAAGGTCTGTCCTTGGACCCCTAGCTTCATTAGGTCCCCTGTGCAAGAGATGTCAATCATCGCATGTCCCTTTAGTGAAGGAAACTGCCTGCCCTCAGCTCTTGAGAGAGTGACAGGACTGTCTGGCGAGTCACATTGAAGCCATCATTTTCCTCTTGTTCCAGGTCTTGGAAAGCCTGGATGAACTGCAGTTTCTATCTTTCTATCTTCTTATCTCTTATGAGAATCCTGTATCTTCGGATTAACACCACCTTCTCTTAAGCTAACTTGCATGGGCCCCACTGCTTGCTGACAAGAATTGGGAAGTGACTATAGGGAAGTGGTTGTCTCAATTCTAGACTGCGGGAAGAATGGTGGCAAGTGGATATATTTAGAGAAAGGAGCTCTGAAAAGATGATCAGGTGCTAGATCTGGGGAAGAGGAAGCAAAGGAGACGCTGGAGAGGGGACTGGAAGAGTCTGCGCTCGTCCTATAGATTTTTCTTGTGTTTCCCTGATGAGGGGGCGATGATTACACACTGGGAAACAATCCACGGGAACTACATGGCTTTGTCTTCTTTGATTTTACAGCTAAAGATACTGTCCTTTATGAACAATATAAACAAAGGAGACATACCTCTCAGGGTAGACTGCGATCCCTGCCCCTCTTACATAAAATGGAAAGAACGATATAATGGCTACCTGTCCATGTCCTCATTGTTGTCTTGGCTATGAGAAAATTCAGGTGTAACTTTCATGCTTGGTTACAATAATAGTTTTGTTTTGAGTCATTTCATGTGTATCTTCCGAAATTTCTGGTCTTTCCTTTTTCTACTTGCCATAACTTACAGTTTCATATATGCCTCTACATTTTAAGAAGTTTCCCACTCCTTTGGTAAACAGTGTGGATTTGAATTAAAAGTAGTGACTTATTCTGCTCTACATCACAAAAACACTCTTTGTGTTGCCCCCAAGGGCAGTGCTTCATGAAGAGCCACGTGGGATTGAAAGTTCAGTGATGTGACAGTCTAGGTGTGCAGGAGGCCCAGGACAAAGGTCCTGTCACCTTTACTCTACCAGCCCCAATGCCTTTAGCATGTCCCAGCCCAACTCTCAGCCCTGCCCTGAAAGCCCTGCAGAAGGAGGACACCTGGCAGAGAGCGCTCCCCACTTCTCAGTATCCAACCTACTCATCCATTTGGGAACTTTTTGGTGTACCCATTCAGCAAATACTCATCATGCACTTACTAAGTATGAGGTGCTCGCTCTGGTAGCTCAGATACAAAGAAAAATACAATGAAAAACTAATGTTAACAAAAATATTTCACCAAGTTAAAGTCGCCCTTGGCCCATTCATGAAATATTTTCCAATCTCATTTTGTGAATGGCATAAAGTTGGAGCTGGAATTCACGCTCTTGTCCCAGTTTGTTGCAGGGGCTCTAGAGAACCTCAGCTGCACCGACCCTGAGATTGCTAAAAAATCATGCACAGTCGTGAGCAAGACTGTGGTCCGAGGCTGCGTCAGAACCCTGTTCAGAGGGAGGTTTGATTTCCTCACTGGATGACACTGCATAACTTTCCCCACCAGGTGTGAAACTCACCTTTGGGAGTTTTTTCTCTTGTCTCTACTTATAATGGACCTGTTGACCTAGGATGGGATGAGGATGTTGCAGAAGGAAGGGAGTGCAGAGCACGGAAGCACTGAGACCAATGGTATCTTGTGGAGAGGGAGGTCAGGAGCCTGCCTGACCATTTGCCTTTCCCAGTGGTGCTGGCATCTGCCACAACATCAAATCAGTCTGCTAAAAGTGTGCAGAAAGGAAAGGCTGTCCTTTGTCTCAGATCACTTTAGAGACTATAAGGAGGCCATTGCCACTTGGGCAGGGTGAGGGGATTCCTAGGATTAATCATTGTTACCTGTGCTGGTGTGGACAAAAAAAGAGTTCTATGGAAAGTAACCTCCCAGGGTGATCTGATCATAAATTCCTAACTGGGCAGGTCATGGTGGGTAGTCATGTTCCAGGCCTATCACTTCTTTAGTAACAGGGTTTGTTTGTTTTTTTGCCTTAAGCAAGCACTGCCCATTGTTTCTGGGCATTTAGGTAAACACACCTTTGAAATGCTTCTTTTCAGACCCTCAAGAGAAACCTGCCTCAAGAGAGCAGATAATCTTGTTAACTATCCTGTAATCCATCCCCCTCTTGGTTTCTCCCACCTCATGTAATCTTCCTTCCATTCCTTTAATTCCAAATGCATAAAAGAAGCAGCAAACTGTCCTTCTGAGAAGCACTTTCTCAGTCTGTTGAGCTCTTGCTTCCAGATGTATCCTCTCTTTGGCTCAAATAAATTTTTATAAAAATTCTCTACAGGTTTAGATGTGCTAACATCAGCCTTAGCTATTGCCAGGTGTTACATTCGGGTGGTGAAAGGTTTTCTAGTGCAGCTTATGAACAGCTAAAAACAATATCCATGTCATAGACAGGGCTGGGCTAGCCATGGGAAGAAATTGAAGGCAGGAGAGTTTGGCATCATGTAGTGGCGATGCTTGAACAAAAAGGAATTGGATCTCTTGGAGGCTGGTGTCTCCACTGAAAAAGGAAAAGGCTTGACTTGGCCCTTTCCATGGTTGACTGTGACCCAGTGCTACGCTCTTATGTAGGACAGACGGTATCCTTTGCCATAAACGCGACCAAAAGCCCTCATGCCCCGCCATCGGCCTCTTTTCACTTCATCCCTCAATCAAATACATCCCCTTCATTTTCCTGCTACCCCCATGAAGAAATGAGTCAACACTGGGCATGGGAAAACCATCATTAACTTCTCTTTAAGAGTAGCAGAGAACTCAGCAGAGAGTCAAGGAATGGGCTATGGGCTAAGGAGCCTACTTCTTCAGGCTGGGAATTCACAGACGGCCAGGAAGGACGAAGAGCAGGAGATGTCATTCCAGAGCCCGTCCTTTAGAAGGATCACACAATCTTCCTCTTTGTCATGGTCATTAGGCTCACCCTTCTTCCAGTTACTGTAGGTCAGCCTCCCTCCTGTCACGTACATAAATCTGCCTTCAGTCACCTCATCTGTAATGCCCAGGAAAGCAACGTCGGGGACCACATCCTGGATGGCTTTGTTCTCTTCAGCATTCTTGGGTGTAGCCACGGTGGCCTGGAGCTCAGCGCACACAGCCTTCACTTTGGAAAAGGGCATCTTTTCACCATTGGTCACATACAGCTTCTTTCCAGACTTTTTGCCCAGGGAGAAGGTTTGCACTGAAATCACAAAAGGTGGGTGAGGTTGACTGGCTCAGAGCCCAGCTCAGGACAGTAGGCAAAAATTCCCTTGTCAGGGATCTGAGAACTCTCAGAAACAGCCCCTCCTCAACCACCTGAGGCCAGCTCCTAGTAAGGAGGCACTCATCAGCTGTAGAGCAAGGCCCTGAAGGAAAGCCTGGCGTCTCCTGGGACATTTCAGCATCGAGATAATCATCTGTAACACACTGTCTCAGTGCAGGTGGACACAGAGGAACATGCTTGGGCCCCAGTTCAGGCTTGGCACCAGGATAAGAAAGAGGCATGGACAGCCATCTGAGAACAGTGGATGCTGAGAAAGGAGCAAAGATTGTGGAGCCAGCGGACCTCCATGCAATGCTTCCTCTGCTGCTTCCCAGCAGTGTGCCAATGAATGAGTATCTGCAAATCCTGGACCTGTGTTTGCCTCCCTGTAAATAATATAGGTATAACCCACACATAGTGTTGGTGAGGGATAGAAAGAAGCCATATTATGAGAAAATGCCAATCTAGCACAGACTCTGGTATATAATAAGTGTTCACAAATGTTTGTTCTCTTTCATCTGAAAACCTAGAGTGCCGTGAAGAAAAAGGTGAGCGCCAGGCCCACATGGGGGCAGAAAGAAGGCTTACCCTTTTTGGTCAGGTCCAGTTCTGACCTCAGGCTCTGTATCTCTCTCTCTAAGTTAGCCAGCGTAGTCTCAGCAACTACAAAGCAATAGAGAGTAGGGTGTTTATTGAGAAAAAGTTCCCAAACTGGAGACATGGTATTTAAAAAAAAATTAGCTTACTAAAAATTATGCTTATGCCAGAAAAATAAGAAAACAAAAAGAAGCAAAAAGAAAAAAATGACAACTATATTTCTGCTTTCCCAGATATACTTCATAACTCTTGTGAATTGTAACTCTGAAACTAACAATAATAACAGTGACTTGTAAACTAGATTCTGGATACTTTTCTTCACATACTGCTTAAATATTGCATTATTATAATTATTTATGAGAATAGGCTCAAGTCATTGTTCCCTTTTTGAAAAATGTTCTTTATCATTCTCTTTCGTTTCTTATTCTAGGCGAACTCTTTAATATTTTCGTTATTTTGATGGGCCAATGGACAAGCATTAATATGAGGTCAATATTTTTCTTTTGTTGTTACTGAATTACTTCATTTCACCATGAATAAATTGAGCTGATGGTCCAGTTATCCTGGGGTTCTATGAGGCAGACCATTTTCATGCCAGTCTTGTGACTATACACTTAAACCCAACATAAGCCACATAATAGGAGCCTTTCCATTTCCTGCCTTGCAGCCTGGAACCCCAATTGGACTGTTTCAGCTAAAGAACGGGCCCATCTCCTGCAGAGGCCTGCAGAGGGGGTGCCTGCCAGGGTTGAGAAGCCTGTACTCAGGCACCCACGAGAATACCCTCAGGCCCCAAGTAAGAGTGAGAGGAACAAGAGTGCTGGTTCAGGAAGCGGAGGTGAGCATCTGCCAGTGGGCAGCAGGAGAAGGCTCACCTCTCACCTGCCCTAGAGTGCTCGGGTCCTGGGACCCCTCGGCCCACACCATGCTGGGATGAGCGCCTTACCTGAACTGTCTCCACGATCTCCTTTCTGTCCCTTTTGTCCTTGCAACCCAGTAGGACCTGTGTTTCCTGGAGGCCCCAATTTCCCTGGAGGGCCCTGCATACCTCTGAGGCCTTGCCCTGTTGGAAGACGAAGGAAATGGCACCCAGTGGCTATCATTCATCCTCTTCCTCCAAAAACTCAATACTCGATTCACATTGACCCCAGAAACCACCAGTGAACTAGAGGTGACTCAAAGAAGAAAGATCTTCCTGCATCCTGGGGGACAGCCTGTCCCAAGGCCCAGCTCCATCTCTATGGACATCCACACATCACCAATTCCTGTGTGGAAACGTGGGATCCTGGAGACCACAGAGCACCTTTGTTTTAGAGAGAATGACATTTACAAGAATTATTCTGAGAGATTCACCACCCATCATAATGACAGGTGAGCCGAATCATGGCTCTGTGCTAGTCTTTTACAGGGACCAGACTCCTCTTGGGGGATAAAGAAAGCAGACCAGCCTGTCCCGTACCTGGTTCTCCCTTTTCCCCCTTGGGTCCATCTCGCCCATCTCTGCCTGGGGTGCCTTTGGTGACAGGGATGCCACAAGTAACCACTGAACAGATCTTCTGGGCATCATCACAGGTTTTTGTTTCTGAGCAGGACACTGTCACCACACACAGAAGGACAGGAAGCAGTGAAAACTGGAACATGGTCCTTACCTTAGCGTGGAGAAAGTCAAGGAAAATAATTCCATCTCATCTTGTTTAGGCAACTTTTCTACCACCTCTGGTGTGTTGTGCCCTGTGCTCAGGGCAGTGGACACAAAGGGAAATGCCCAAGCCTTGGCCCTGAGTTGCTCCCAGGCTCGTCGGGAGACAGACAAGTAAGGCATATCAGAGTTGGATCAGTGCTAAAACAAAGGTAGAGATGCGGGAGGACTATAAGAGGGGCCTGTTCTCCCGGGGCCCCCAGTGTCCCTGTGGGTACAAGGCTTAGGGGGCTAGGCAGTCCCTATGCCTGAGAGCCCACAAGGTCTGGAAATGACAAACTAGGCCTGTCCCTGGTGGCCTGGCACAAAGGCAAGCTCATTGCCTATGTGAACTTTGATTTTCTTTTTCTCAATTCCATTTTTTGAGGACCAAGTAAGCCTCAGTTTCCCTCTTCTTTCCCTTCCAATGGGCCCTAGAGCTAGACTCAAACTGTGGCAGGTGAGGACAGGTCTCTCAGGGCCCATTTGTTGCTGGGACCTGGTTTACGACATCCATTCTCTCATTGATATAAAAATTCCTGTTTTATACTCTTGGTTCCAACCACCCTCAGAACCACAGTTGTTCCCCTGACAGCCTGTCAGCCATTTCGTATAAAGTATCTACTTTGTGACACGCCTTTGCTGGGGGCTCACAACCCAAAGTGCCCTGGGTCAGGCCTGTGACCCTCAAATGGGACCATCCTTGGTCTTTGAATCTGGTTACATGACACTTAAATTTGCCTCCTTCTCTTGGTTTGAGATTTTCCAGTTAGAGGCCATTTCTGCCAGTCAGAACCCAGACTCCTAAAGGTTTCTGTTCCCTCTTGACCTGGAAGCATTTTAGCTTGTGCTTCTCCTGGCAGGATTCTCTGCATGATGCCTAGAGGCCTTCCCAGCTCTGTGTCCCATCCAGCTGTCAGATTTCCCTCCAGCCTTTGCTCAAGCTGGCCCCTCTTCCAGGGAGCCCTGGCAGCCCAGCCCCCATGGGCCTCTTCCTGTGCTCCTCTCTGGGTAATTCCCATGTCTCTGGCCCTGGTTGCATAACCACTCATCTGCCCCTGCCTGCCCTGGCCTGTCAGCTCCGTTAATCCTTCCTGTCCTCCAGGACTCAGTGGGAAGTAGTTAGTTGGAGGGGAACTTCTGGATCACGTTCTTCTCCACTTTTCCTCTTTCTATCTCCTCCTCCTTCTCCTTCTTTCCCCCTTCCTGATTATGCTTGAGGCCAAAGTCAAGCTTGAATCTGTTGCTGGCATACACACCCCACTTCTATTCTTCTCTGTGGCTGAAAATACCAACCTTCAGTGTGCAAATGGTCAAGTGGGTCCAGGAAGGACTCAAATGTCCCAGGTCAAGGACACACAGAGGCCCTGAGTGGGCCGGACAACCCCACCAAAGCCCTTGCCTGGACCTCACCAGGATCAAGCCAAGTGGCCAGGCTCTTGGACCAGGAATCCACCTCTGTCCTCCAGAAATGACTTGCTAAGACCTCTTCAGAGCACAGAGACTGTGGCAGGGAAGCTGTCCTCCAGCCCAGGCCTCTAGCAAGTTCCTCAGCAATGTCAGGTTCGGTTAGCCTGGTGACCAGGGACAGTGCTGGACTGGCCTTCAATCCCAGGTTAATAAACAACTTACCGTCCTGAAAACTGCTATATGCTTGGCAGTTCTCCAGGGCTGCTGGTGGACCTCCAGCATTGCACTGGGCAGCTCTCTACTTTAATGCCCAATCCTCATTCTATTGCCCCTCCCATACCTCCATCTCTAGAGATTGGCAATTGATCCTCCAGAATCACAGATTCTCAGGCTAGTTCTCTGCAAATATTTATTTCTAGAAGAGACATGTATAGACATTCTACCAAAAAACACCGCTCACGCACACTCACACGTAGATCCGTGCACACACAGGTACACACTTCTGTAACCATTGTTCTGACTAGTTCACCCCTCCAATAATGTGTAGTTAACTCAGCACAACAGGGACAACATGGTCACCTCATACCTTCCTTTTTATTCAGAGCATTTCTCAAATGTCTTCTTTGGGCATGTCACGGGGCTAACTAGGCACCAGGAGAAGCATTTGTAGATAACTTACATTCAGGGCTGAATGTGGGCATTTGCACTAGCTGTTCCAGTCATCTGGACATGACCCTCTGTCTCTGCATAGCTGTTTGTTGTCATCACATTTCAGCTTGAATGTTATCTCTAGAGAAAGGGCTTTAGCTAACCATTTAATTTTCAGCAGCCACTCTCTCATGATATGGGAACTATCTGCCTATAATATATCTCTATGTGAAATTGTCTTCTTTATTTGGTTGCATATTTATTGACCACCCACCCACTCCTTTAAAACAGGCACTTCATCAGAACAGAGGTCTTGTTCCCCAGTTCTTGTTTCCCCACCTAGAAGAGTGGCTGGAAATAGAGTCAATGCTCAATAGACATTAATGGGGCAACCAAATCCTCTAGAATCATGTCCTCAAAACAGCCTTCTTGATTTGTCTCCAGCTAGAGCTAACATCTGGGCCTATTTTCCCAGGGGTTTTACTTATCTAGGGCAGGAGCTGCATTTGA